GGATCAGAAGTAGATCAGCAGGGACTTCAACCGGCTCCCATATGGGATGCTGGTGCCACAGATGGATGCTTAACCTACTATACCGCAGTGCTGGCCCTTTGGCTACATTTTAAAAGTGCAAATATGGAATCATTTTAGCTAGGGAATGTGATATGTGCAATGATGCTATCATTATTAGACTAGAGATACTTTTATCTGGCTTGTATATGTTTGGTTAGAATAGACATGAATGCACATGACCTGTCCAAGGCTTTGGGAGGAAAGACCAGGATATTTTTGATAGAAGAGCTGCATTTCTGAACCTAATTGCTCAGAACAGGACTTGTCTGGACTGACCAAAAGTAATACGGTTTTAGTTCATTAAGGTATTAGCTTCTGACCACTTTCACATCCATGCCCAGAGTTCAATTACCGGACTGGTCTCTGAAGCTTAGTTTTGATGGATGCAGCATGACACATTGAAATTGGTGACATTCATAAACGAGGACTTTCAGTGAATGGCACATCTGCACCACCCACACCAAGTAACAATAAAGGGTATAATTAAGTGAACAGTATCTTGGCTAGAAGTGGTGGTAGATATTATCTCAAATAAATTTCCATAGTACAAATTATATAACAATAAAAGACATGACTGATACATCATTACCACTTTTAAGCGAGATTTAACAGGAGAGGAGAATTTATTAGTTTTTCAGTGCTCGCCTTGATCCTGGTCAATTATTTTCTTCAAAATTATTCTGAGCTAATTTGTATTTAACATCATTTAGATGTTTTTACAATTTCTTTCGTCTTCCTATAGTCATTTGCCAGTGGATCAATTCAGCTTGCTTAGGTCCCTAGGTCTTAGCAATGTATGAAAAAATATGGATTACAAATAAAACAATTAGGACAACTGTTAGTCTTTTTCCTGAAGAAGCCAGGACATTTGTGACAGCGGAGAATGATTTTGGTAAAAGTGCAATGGATCTGATGTAGGAGTGCGGAGGCCAGGGACAGCTGATGGAGTGAGAGAAGACATGAGGCAGCCTCCGTCTCCCTGAATGTGAATACTGGCTTCTGTAATCTCCCATCTTCTTTGCTTTCTGATTTCTACTTACTTTGTCAAAAAAAAAAAAAAAAAAAAAAAAAGGAACCCTTAAGAGTGGCCACTGTCCAACAGCTGTGACCTAAGAGTCACTGACAAGAGTTTCGGATTCCATGTGACAATGTCACTGATGATTCATTGAGAACTTGGTATAAGTCACTTAATCTTGTGCTCCTTCAGTTCCTGGGTGTGTTCAAAAAAACACGTTAATATTTGATCCTAAAAATAATTAACTAGGGCGACTGTTTAGAGTTCTAAGAGGACATTTAATTACTTAAATTTCCACCACTTTAATGATCACACTCTGGCTGTACTCAAATGTCTTGATCTTTATCTAACTCTTGACTATTTTTTCTTATTTGGATTAGGATTCTTTTCCTTAATATCTGCTACCAGCATATAACATGCTGCTTTTCTTATATGGAAAATAAATAGGATCCAAATATTTTATTTTATAATAAAAGCATAATTTATAATCTGACTAGAAATATAAAGGTCTTCAAAAAGTTCATGAAAATGTGTTATCTTGGAGCTGGTGCTGTGGCATAGCAGGTAAAGCTGCCACCTGCAGTGCCAGCATCCCATATGGGTGCCAATTCGAATCCTGGCTGCTCCACTTCCAATCCAGCTCTCTGCTCTGGCCTGGGAAAGCAGTGGAAGATGGCCCAGGTCCTTGGGCCCCTGCATGCACGTGGGAGACCCGGAAACTCCTGGCTCCTGGCTTTGGATAGGCACAGCTCTGGCCGTTGCTGCTATTTGGGGAGTGAACCAGCAGATGGAAGACTTCTCTCTGCCTCTGCCTCTTGTAACTATGCCTTTCAGATAAATAAATCAATCTTTAAAAAAGAAAATGTGTTTTCTTTTAATTATATTTTTGTGAACTTTTGAAGTATCTTCATATTTTAAACTTTGTATAATTTTCATTAATGGATCTTTATCTATCTTGTTTGTATATCAATTATTCTTCATGTTTATTTATAGAATATAAGCTCAGAGAGGAGAAATATCATTAAAATTAAATTTTCATTTTATTTGAATGGGTGAGAGAGAATGAGAGAGAGAGATGGAGAGAGATCTTCCATCTGGTGGTTCACTCCCCAGATGCTGGCAATAGCTAGGACTGGATTAGGCTGAAGCCAGGAGCCTGGAACTCAGTACAGGTTTCCCACGTGGTGGCAGGGACCTAAGTACTAGAATCAACATCTGCTGGCTCCTGGTGGGTGCCTTGGCAAGAAGCTGGGGCAGAGTAGCCAGGGTTCCAACCAGACATTCCAGTCTGGCATGTGGGCATCCCAGCCATCAGCTTACCCACTGTGGCACGTGCCTACTCCTAGTCCTTAAATGGAGGATCAGAATGTTGCAGCTTTGAGCGACTCTGTAGGTCATCTAGTTCAAGCCCCTCATTTTGCAGATAAAGAAGCTGGTACACCTCTTACTCATCTAAGTCCCCTTAGATCACTAGGGACTGGCACTCACCGCTCCTGGATCTCTCATCCTTGTCAGGACTGCAGGCCCCATACATCTGTGTATTTTGATGAATTTGGTTAAGGTCAGCTCAGGTTGGGTGCAGCCCCTAGACAGCATTATCTGTTTGTATTCAGACACTGCTGCTTCAATTTAGGCCATCCACAACTTTAACCTTGTGAACCAGAAGCCGAGATGAACTGGCAAGGGTCCAGCCTCCCACTGGAAACACATATGTCACACGGGTGAGGGGCCCTCATCTTTGTTTCCAAGGACAACATAGTGGCAGCAATTCATTATTCATTTGACAAACACTTCATTTCCATCCTCTCAGACAAGCACTGTGCTCTTCCTACCTTAGGATCCCCGCCCTCAGGGAACTTCAAGTCTAAGACAAAGGCAAATGTGAAACAACTATAAAAGGAATTGCATCTCAACTAACACACATCTTAAAAGCACGAACTTAGAAATTTCCTTCTTTGCACTGCAGTTTCTTACAAAAATTTCCATTTTAATATACAACTAAGAAAGGGAGCAGATAAACATAAAATGGGCAGTTGGTTTTCAAAATTGCAAAGCTTTATTTGGTCCGGGACTAACACGGACCTTTCCTCCCAGGTATATTGTAGTAATTAGATGAAGCTGTTTCAGAGTCTGGAGAGCTGAAGTTTTGGAGTAGAGTAGGAGAAAAGGAAATAAACATTCATGATGGTTTTTTTTTTTTTAGGATTTTATTGCATAGCTGTACAATCTGAGAGGGACATGATGTTTTAAATTCGGATTTTTATTATATAAAAGTAATGCATTCTTTGGGTAAAATATTCAAACTATACTTAACAGTCTGAAGGGCAGAAGCAAAATTCTCTCTTTTCCAGGTAAACACTCTTGTCTTTTGTTCTCTTTTCCCAAAATTTTCCACAAATATAGGAACAAATGGCTCAACATTAAGCATGCTTTCCCTCCGCTTACCCTAGATATATAAATCAGTACATTATTGATATCATTTTAAAAAATGGGTGCATACACTATACCTTTTTATACATATAACTTAAGCAGAAATTGACTTTTTAAATGTCACAAATGCTGGGGAAATAAAACAAATATATAAATGTGGATACATTGAACTAGGCATTGTCACAGTGGATAATGCAGCCGCCGACATAGCACAAGTCAAAGCTTATTAAATCGATTAAGATTTTCTTCGCCTTTGCTGACTGGTATAACCTGGTAGCTTTGCCTTTTTCTCTTTCCACTCACTATGTCTCATAACTTTCTCCCTAACTACCCGGAGGAAGTGGTAAAAGCGAATCTCTTCCTGTATGAGGCCACACTTGTGGTGCTGTGTGTAACCGCCGAGACCCTGCGGGATCCAACATCCTTGCGTTTTCTCGCACGGGGACTTCCCTGACCACCACTCCGGGTCGCCCCTGACCCGCGCACTTGGCCTTGACTTCCTGCCTCTTATCAGCCGCAATCCATCAAGGCCCCGAACGTGCTCAGTGCAGAGCAGGATAAATCAGCGCTCTGCCTCACAATTTAAGGAAGGCAGGGGGCTAGTTTTTGTCTTCAGATAAAAATCTCTGAACTCCCCCAAACTTCCTTTAAACCAAACAGCATTGTCCCACCCGCACAAGGCCTTATCACACAGCCGGATGACTCCAGATCACTAACATTTCTATTCTTAAGGACTTTGCTGGCCCCAAATCAACGCCCTCCGGCCCCACCCCTCTTCCTTCGCGCTCCCCAGGGCACCGGCGTTCGCAGCTCGCGCCACACCACGACTGCGTGGGCTTGCCGCCGGAACTGTTTGTCCTGGGATTTTATAAACCTCCCCCGTCGGGTCGGTTCATTCTTTTGAGGTTTGGGAAACGGAGGTCAGGATCGTTTTCAGCCGGCAGGTCTTCCAACTCGGAAACACACTGTCCGAGTGAGGTGTCTGCAGGCCGAGGGCCGCTGTTCTCTGCACCGACGAGCCAGGCGTTCTAGCCTGAAACCCCTGCACCTGCAACCAGTGGGGAGGGGCACCGCACGACCCCCTGCCTGCGGGGGGTTAGCGTGGAAGCTTCCGTGTCCGCGCTCGACCTCCACAAAAGACGGGCCCACTTTTCCCTCTGGGGCGCGCACTTCACAACGTCGTCGGCATAAAAGGGCAATAATAATAACGGTCACCGCTAAACCTCCCTGCGGCCTCCCCCGCGCACCGCCCGCGCGCGTCGGAGCCAAGGAGACCACCGCGCCAGCGAGCAGCTCCCTCACACCCTGAGGCGCGGTCCGGGACGCGGCCCTCGGCGTCGCGGTCCCCGAGCCCCCGGGAGGGGCGGGCGGGCGGCCGGCCGGCCGGGTGGGGGCGCCGCCGGGGCGCGAGCCGGCCCGCGAGGGCCGCTGGGGACGCGGGCTCGCAGCGCGGTCGCGCCGGGGTCCCGCGCCCCGGGGGCCTCCGCGGCGGGGTGGGCGGGGCGGCGGCGAGGGGCGGTTCCGCGCCGCCGGCTCTTCCTGCCTGGCGCCCGCAACTCGGGGCTGAGAACTTGTGCCCGCACCCGCAGCGCCCCGCGGCTCCCGCACCGCGAACGGGCCCGCCCCCGCCTCCGCCTCCTCAGCCTCCGACTGCGGCCGCGCCGCCCCCCCTGCCGGCCGCCGGCCGCGCTTCGCCCGCTTTACAAAGGAGGGAAAAATGAGCCGGGCGGCGGCGGCGGCGCGGCGCGGGGCCACCTCAGCGGCGGCGAGCGCGGCCGCCCCCGGCACCACGTAAAACACCCCCGCCCGCCCGTCCGCCCGTCAGCCCCGCCGCGGCCCAGGCCCGAGCAGAGCCTGCCCGGCCGCTCGCCTCCCGAGCCCTGCGCGTCGCCGCCGGCCGGGGAGGAGGCGGTGAGGAGGACGAGCCGGAGGCGCCGCCTTCCCGCGCCGCGCGCCCTCGCCGTTGTCTGCGCTCGGCTCTGGACCAGTTTGAGGGAAGTTGCCCGGGCCCCGCGTCGTCCAGATGTGCGACCTCATTGAGCCGCAGCCGGCCGAAAAGATCGGCAAGATGAAGAAGTTGCGGAGAACTTTGTCGGAGAGTTTCAGCCGCATCGGTGAGTGGCCAGCGCCCCCCGCCCCCCACCCCGGTCCCGCTCCCCTCGGCCTCGCGCCCCGACGCCCCAGCCGGGCAGCTGCCGCCCGGGCAGGGCTGGCGGGAGGCGGCGACCCGGGCGACGGCGCAGGCGGGAGGGGAGACCCCTGCGCCCCCTGACCTGGCTCCTGCGTGGATGGCTTCAGACCCGGGGTTGGGGGCGTCCTCCCCATCCCGTGTGCTCGCTCCTGGCGCCCGCGGGCGAGGGGGCTCCGCCGCCCCGCAGCGCGCCGGGGTCTCGGGCTAATTGTCGCGCTGCGGGCTTCGGTGTCGGGTGCGGAGGCTAGAGATTCCGCTTTGGAAATTGGCGGAAGGCTGGGCCGTGCCCTGGTGGTGTTTAACCTAGCGACGCACAGAGAAGTGGGAGAGACACCTGGAGACCTTTTGTTCGGCACTTGCTGTCCTAGAAAGCGAGGTTTGGCGGTGCCAGTGCCGAGGTCCCCTGATCGCCCCGCAGCTGCAGGAAAAGGCGCGCCGGGAAGTTCTCCGGACGCCTAGAAATTGAGGCTCCCGGTTCGGTCTGATTCCTGGAGCCGGGGGCTATTGTCTTGTAACCGACTAACAAAAAGCCCCAGAGGAGGGTTTGGGATGGTTAGAACCGTGTCAGGCCGTGCATGACGGGGTGACAGCGGTGTCACGTGGAACGTGTGAACTCGATTTTGACTTTTGGCACAGAAACCCCCTTTTAGCTGCAGATCGTAGCTATCTCCCCAGCTGTCATAACTTTTCACCGATGCAGGTACCTGCTCTCGGCGAGCAGAGAAACGACCCCCGGGGTCCCTAGGAATCCTTTGGCCTTTGTCTCACGTTAATGAAGTGAAGCAGAAAGGTGCTAATTCTTAGAGTAAAAACCTGGGGCGAACAGGAGTGCTGCCGTCATCCGTCCACTCACTCGTTGTAACATATGCAAACTTTGTTCAAGTGAGAGAAAACGGGGGTCAAGATTGAGTCAACATTTGTCCCCCCCTCTTTGGTTGTCTTCTGACTTCAGGTTTCCCAAGATGACTGTAACGTTATGCTGCAAAACCAAAATTGGCCCGGGTTTAATTCACTGTGTGTATGCGTTTGCAGTCTCATCCGTCATAGTTAGGGATGCTCAGGGAGCAGCCCCTACATTCAGATGAAGTTTGGAGTTAGGGAAGTGTGAGACTCTGAGGTGTTGAGTCCTGTGCGGGATTAACCGGAGTGTCTCAGCCCCCACCCAGGCCATCACAGAGTCCATTAAGCTCTGTTCTAACACACACGAACTGTATTTACTAATGCTAATGACTGTGTTGGAGGCCCTCCAGTTTTATGTTAAATAATTCATCCCAATCGAGTCTCAGTAAGAAACTAAGGACATTAGTATAAAAATTCCTTATGTTTAAATAATTTCAAGGTTTTGATTGACAATCAGTAAAATTTGGATTAACTGCAGTGCTGGCAAATGGGGGTATTACAGTTAATTGGATTTTCTAGCTTACTGAGATTTAGTGATGTGAAACTCTTTTTGAGTCCAGCTCTTGTTAAAAATGTCTTAAGATCTAGTGGATTTTATATCCTCCCTTCAGGAAACAGTTTGGTGCAGTGAACATGACTGATTATTTCTTAGAGTGATGGAGGGTCGTGATTCTGAATAGCGGGTCTCACTGTGGAATGCTCTAAGAGGAGATACTGGAATTGTAAGTGATTAGAGTTGTATCCCAAGGTCAGCATACTTGTTAGAAATAGCATCACAGAAAAATAAAACTTATGTACTTATTTTCTTTTCTTTTTGCAACACCAAAAGTGATGCATTCATTCTCATTGATTAAGGACCTTCGAGGTACTGGAGGCTGTTGAGTTGAGGATGATGCTGGTGTTATGGGATTGCATGAGTTAGGAATGTAAGCTGTGTGTTAGATGGACTGGATAGTCCCCATGTTGCCACTCCTAGCTGAGTGACCTTGGACAGGTCCCCTTACTTCCCTGAGTTTCACTTTTTCCGTATGTAGCTAAGTGTTGTGGTTGGTACTTGGTGAGACAATACATAATAAAGACTCAGATGTTCTCGCTGTGTTATTGTTAGTTTCATCAGTGATTGTATTGTGCCGACATTGCCCGGCTCACAGAAGAAGGTGAGAGAAGGGGGACACAGTGGTCACTGACTTTGTGGGACAGCCAGCCCTCAAACAGGATGGGCTTGAAGTTTGGAGGCAAGCCTGGGCTTGAACCTCTTTTCCCCTGCTTACCTTGAGCAACCGGTAGTGTTTCCTTCAACTCCAGAGTCCTCCTCTGTGAGTATTCATTTAGTTGTTGTGAAGTTGGAGTTGGATAGAAAGATAGCATATCGAATGCAGTATTTGTCACAAGGTGAAGATCAATTTAGAAGCTGTTGTCATTCCTTCTGGTTTCTGCTTATCCTTTCTACGTGGGTACTTAATGGGGAGTTCAGAGAAAATGGCTTATTCCTGTTGAATAATCCAGCATTGCAATGTAGTCGTTTCATTTAACCAGTCTAAGATGGCTTTTGAAACAAATGTGCTGACTTGACTTTTCTTTTCTAGTGTGATTCAGAACTGTAGCTTGTTATATAGTGACATGTACATTATCTTTGTTTATCTATAAGAAATTACTAAAACATTCATCTATAGAAAATGAGGATAATGTTAAAAAATGGATGATAACCAATGGTGTTTATTATTAATAATAATTCTGAAGAGGTTACAATAACAATGCAAATGATTAATTTTTTCACACATCTGAGATCATGCTTTGTCACTGCCCACCCCAAACAGAGCTGATGTGAGATGACTAAATTATAAAAGGTCTAATAAAACACATTGGCTTTCAAACCATCACATTCTAATTTATGGCATCTGCTATGGAGTGACTGTAATATAGCTATGGTTCTTTTCTAAGAGAGGGTAATTGAATTTTAAAGTCACTCATGGATTGCAGTAGTATTTATGGTTTTCTGCTAAATCGTGTAAATGTGGTCACTTATTTAGGAATTTCTGTAGTTGTTCTACTGTTTTATTTTTTTTAAAACTGAGACAAATGGGAACTTAATTGTTTAATATCTTAAATATATTCCATTTCCTCTTGTCTTTGTTTCTTTTTTTTTTTTATTTTTGAATGTTAACCTAGAAGGAGAAAGGCTGTATAGAATATCTACTGTATGATAAAGGTCAAACTGACATTTCTTAATGTTCATTTGAATGCGTTTCTTCACATTTATTTGGATTGTTTCCTAGAGAAAGGAAGTTTATACCCTGTGATATTTGAGATGAGCCCCTTGTATACCATTTCTTTTAAGGATGTGGTTTGTGAGAGAATGGCATAAAAGGAAGAGGTTGTGATTACACTGAATTTTGGGTTTCTTACCTTGTGCTATACCTGTGTAATTCTGGAGACCAGTCATTTGATGAGCTCTTTCTGTCGGAAAAGAGAAGTGTGGCTAAAGATTGAGACACAGCATTTAGCCGTTGTACCAAATCCTTTCCAAGTGCAGGTTCAAAAGATTTGTTTCTGAAAGCTGCAAAATGGAACTTATAGCTATGATTCTTTAAAGCAGAGGACAGTATATGGTTTCCATACACCAAAACTTTTGTGTATCTCGCAATAGATGCTCTTCTTTCACCATTGAGATGGACCTCATGAACCCACAGGAAACTACCAAGTGCCTTCTGTGTGCTGGATACTGTGCTGACACATGGATTTGGTGACCAACATGGCTGGTCCCTGTCCTTGAGGATTTTAAGGGAAGACAGACCAATGACAATATAAGGTGACAATTTCTACCAGGAAGAGAAATGTCCTTTTCTTTAAAGGGCTTAGGAGGAGCATCATTTTTGTCATGGTGAGCTTGAGGAAGTGATTCTAAGCAGAGGACTCTTGAGTAGAATATCTGATTATCCTACATGGTTCAATATATGCCTCTTTGTTAACCAGAATAATCCAACACGCTTGTTATTCCAATATATACTTGAAGACAATTGTGGGTTTTCATTTACATGAATGATTAATGACAATCAGGGAATGTGATCAATATTGGGATGTTGCGTGCTTGCTTTGGGCAGAGTTTCTTTATCAATGACCTGATAAATATCTGCAAAGGTATTAATTAGTCTTTTTTGTCACTTTTAATTGCTGTTCAGAGCAAGGATTCAATACTTAGCAGAAACCATGGAAGCTGTCAGTCTAGTCCTGAAAGATCTCAATGGCATAATGGTCTTCTTGGCCTTACAATATTTCTCCCTGTGGTACCCTGAGCTTTAAAGTGTCCTGCAGGGGAGAGTCTTGGCTTCTTGTTCCTTCTCACTTAACCAAGTACACCTGCATTTTTTCTTTTATTTCCTTCTGTTGCTACTTCCTTACTACTCCTCCTTATGCAGAATGCTGGGAGAGGATCAGGGCCTAGGAGGCAAGAGGGAAATGGATGGTTTAGATGTTCAAAAGACATTCTAGTTTCCTCATATTTCTCAGCTTGATGGTCTTCATTCCATGTTTACAACTCCCTAAGGGGTGGTTTCAGTTGAGTTCTTATTGGATGCTCTGCTAAGTAAACACATGGCTAAATTATGAGACCCCAAATGAAGTCAGTATTTTTAAATGCTTGTACTATGAATTATATACTTGCTACTGTAGCTTTGCTTGTTGCATTGCAGAAACATATGTGTATTGCATTAATCTTTGTTAAAAGAACTTGATATGAGGGCATACAATAAGTCATTTAAGTGTAACTTTTTATTTGAAATCAATTTGGGCCAGTGCCGTGGCTCAATAGGCTAATCCTCCGCCTTGCGGTGCCAGCACACTGGGTTCTAGTCCCGGTCAGGATACCGGATTCTGTCCTGGTTGCCCCTCTTCCAGGCCAGCTCTCTGCTATGGCCCAGGAGTGCAGTGGAGGATGGCCCAGGTACTTGGGCCCTGCACCCGCATTGGAGACCAGGATAAGTACCTGGTTCCTGCCTTCAGATCAGCGCAATGCGCCAGCCGTGGCGGCCATTGGAGGGTGAACCAACGGCAAAGAAAGACCTTTCTCTCTGTCTGTCTCTCTCTCTCACTGTCCACTCTGCCTGTCAAAAAATAAAAATAAAAAAAATAAAAAAATGAAATCAATTGATTTCAAAAATTTTAGTTTTTTAGATAGAACAACTTGTCTATATTTAGAATTATGTCACTAATATTTTGTGAAGGACTCACTAGTCAGGTACATTAATTAAAGGACATACTTTGGCTTGAGAGAGTAGAAAGTATGTATTGTCTAAAAACATTGTTAACCTATTTAAATGAGAGTGTTCTAGGTTAAAACCTAAATTCCAGTGAAAATGTAGCTATTAGGAATCATCTAGGATCTTATATCTGTCACAATAGGTAATTTTCATTTTTAAAGGTTTATTTGTAGAATTAGAGGCAGAATGAGATGGAGGGAGGGAGGGAGAGAGGGAGGGAGGAGAGAAGGAAAGATATCTTAACTATTTTCTACTCACTAGTTCACTCTCCAAATGGCTACAGCAGGGCCTGGGCTGGGCCAGGCCAAAGCCAGAAGCATGGAACTTCATCTGGGTCTTCCATGTGCATGGTAGGGGCCCAGGTACTTGGGGCATCATCCACTGCTTTTCTAGGCATATTTGCAGGCAGCTGGATCAGAAGTGGAGCAGCCGGGACTCTAAACTGAGCCTATATGGGATGTTGCATCACAGGCAGCACCTTAAGCAATGCCACTTCCAAAATAGGTATTTTAGATGTTTAAAAATTGCATTAGTGGAAGAGAGAGAAGCGTGAGCTTGTGTGAGAGTGCTCCCACCCACTGTTTCACTTCCCAAATAGCTACAAGAACTGGGACTAGGTTGAGCTGGAGCTGGTCTCCAACGTGGGTGTCAGGAACTCAGCAATTTGAGCCATCGCTGCTGCCTTCTGGGGTCTGCATTAGCAGGAAGCTGGAGTCAGGATCCAGAGCTGGGTATTGACAATAGGCATAGGCATCTTAATCTCCATTATTATGTATATGTCATATGCATAATAAAGCATGTTCACACAACTGAATATAAGATAAGCCATTTGAGCCTGGGACAAAGGACTGTCTATTTTTCACTCAAAAGAAATTGTTCTCTGGAGACATCTATTATAGATCAGTTTATTATGCAAAAGGGAAATACAGAGAATTAAACTTTTTTTGACAGGCAGAGTGGACAGTGAGAGAGAGAGAGAGACGGAAAGGTCTTCCTTTTTGGTTCACCCTCCAATGTCCGAAGGCAGGAGCCAGGTGCTTCTCCTGGTCTCCCATGGGGTGCAGGGCCCAAGCACTTGGGCCATCCTCCACTGCTCTCCCGGGCCACAGCAGAGAGCTGGCCTGGAAGAGGGGCAAGTGCGACAGAATCCGGCGCCCCGACTAGGACTAGAACCGGGTGTGCTGGCGCCACAGGTGGAGGATTAGCCTATTGAGCCGCGGTGCTGGCTTGAGAATTAAACTTTGAGAACCGTTATGTTCCTCATCCAGGCTGCTTCCCTGTTAGCACAACACCTCAATCACATATTCTTGGCCTTTTTGAAAAGAAAAAAAAATACAATATAAAACAAAAAATAACCTTTTCAAGATTGCTACAATATTTAAGTTTTTGTATGATAGGTTCAGGTTAAACTTGTTACTTTTCTCAGAGCTTAATTACCCAAATAATTTTCTATTTACTTGTTTTGTCAGGGCATAACTTTTCAAATAACAGTGGCTCCAGTGCTTCTGCCCAGATAAGGGCCATCTCAAACAGATCAGCAGACACCCACACTCAGCTTTGTAGTTGGGAAACAGTTGTCTGATGAGTGGCTGCAGATAAATTAGCTACTTTGTGCATTGTTCTTAACATGAAACATTCTAAGTAATTGCAGGATATAGGCAACTAGGTGTTTGCCAAGTACAGGTGAAATTCTTCTCTTTAGAGTGATACAATTTCAATCCTAAAACTATGTATATTTGAAACAAATTTGAAATATTTGCTGGTTCCTAGAAATACTCTGAATGTGCTTTCTAGAATACTGTGTTATGAAATGTATCAGGCTGAAGTGTTGGGACCACCCTCTCATTCCGTAAAGCTTATTTCATTGTAAGATGTATCATTTTGAAGTGTTGGAACATTGTCTCTAACTGCACTGAGATTATCTGACATGCCTGGGCTTTCCTCCTGCACTTGATTTCTCTCTGTGTGAAAATGTCACAGGACATTGAGCAGAGTGGGTTTAATGGGACAAATGGCTCGGGAAGTCCACACACCTGACGTTATGACATAGGCTCAGAAACCAGGAGATTAAGGGGAGAATTCTTTAAGATTGGCTTGTGATTCTTTGATACTCGGATTGAAGCACATTTCATGCAAAGAAGAGATGTGGGAAAGATATGCTTGCTCCCACCCCCCATATTTGGGATGTTAGCCCTGTTTCCATTTTTATGCACATGGATGGGTGTTGTGCAGTACTCTCTCATCTGCAGTTTTGGTATTGTATCATCACATTTGTTCTGTGATGAAAACACCCCACTGTTTTGTTCTTTTCTGTTTCCTAGAACTTAGATACTTAGTCTCCTTGTGGTGTTTCATAATAACTTTCCTTTCTCTTTTTGTTTTGTAGCTTTGAAGAAAGACGATACTGCCTTTGATGAGGTAGGTTAAATTTCTTTATCTAATGTTAGATGTATTAAATTACTGCCAGGTAAAGTCAGTAGGTGCCAGCTTCACACACACAGGTACGAATGCCTTAAAAACAGACGCACACGAGATGACATCTGTTTACTCAGTTAAGAGTATCATTGCCAAATTTTAAATAGTCGAAATGAATTTTGGTAGCCATCAACAGAAATATGCTCTTTCTAAATAGGTAAACAAAGTAATTAAAAGGCACATATGGGCCTTCCGACTTCTTGCTGGTGATGGTGCCTGGGAACCTTGGTGTGACGTGTGTGCCTGGGACAAGTCTGGAGTTGTTGGGACGCTGGGCTCCATGTCCCACTTGCAGACCTCAGCCACCTCAGGGTGTGATGTGGTGCTGATGCCACTTATTGTCTGTCATTTCCCAGAGGGGGAGCTGACTCTTCCTGTTCCAGTTTCCCTATTCTTTATCAGATTTTTCTTGATCTACTTGCTAAGAAGTAGTTTAAAAAAAAAAAAAAAACATTCAAATAAGACAGAGGTTTCTTATATAATTAATAGCATCCTGAATGTGAGTTTTAAAGTCATACTCTTTGCTGAGATTTTGTAGTCTAAAGGACAATCACCAGAGAAATGTTTACAAATGTTTTCAGTGGTTTTTTTGTTTGCTTGCTTTTTTTTTTTTTTTTAAAGATTTGTTTTAATTATTTGAAAGGCAGAGTTACAGAGAGAGAGAGGGGGAAACAGAGACAGCGGTCTTCTACCCACTGGTTCATCCCCAAATGGCCACAAAGGCAGGAATGGGCCAGGCCAAAGCCAGCAGCCAGGAGCTTCTTCTGGGTCTCCCACAGATTGAGGCTGCAGGGGCCCAAGCACTTGGGCCATCCTCCACTGCTTTCCCAGGCACATTAGGAGGGAGCTGGGTCGGAAGTGGGGCAGCCAGGTCTCAAACCAGGGCTCATATGGGATGCCAGTGCTACAGGCAGTGGCTTAACTTGTCTGCCACAATGCTGGCCCCATGAAATGGTTTTTTCTTTCCTTCCTTTTCTTTTTAAAATCAATTTATAGACAGAGCTCCAAAGCACTGGTTCCTTCCCAAGATGCCCACATTGACTGGGCCTGGGTGGTGCCAGCCTAAAGGTAGAAGCTGTGAACACTTTCCAGGTCTCCTAGGTGGTATGGACCCAAGTACTTGAACCATCACCTACTGCCTCCTAGGCCCCACATTTGCAGGACGCTGGAATCAGGAGCTGGGTTTTGAACCTACGTACTCTGATACGGAACGGAGGCTTCTTAACCCACTAGGCTAAATGCTACTGAGTGAGGTGTTTCATTGTGCTTTAGTACCCGATCTATGTTGTAAACAGGGCCACAGGTACAGATATAGGATGTGTATTTATGTAGGACCACAGATGGAGGTGCACAATGTCTTTGCCCTACTGCTTAATGAAAACATAAGTTAGTTTGGTTTGACCGTTTGATTTGCTTTGACAGTTGTGGATTCCGTGAAGTGTGCTGCCCGAGTTCCCTCTGCCATGGTGCTTTAGAGAGGAAAGGGTGTTCGTGTGCATGGAAAGTCTCCTTGGCCATGTGGCTAGCCATGGTGCTCAGCAGGTTCACTCAGGAGGGACCTGCTCCAGGCTGGGCTTTCTGGATGCGGCCCGAGTCATTTGGCCGTCATGGTCTGGTGCTTCGTCTGCCGCACCTGTTCTTTTTCTCCCCTGGCTGAGCTCTGCAAAGCTGCTTGTCCCTGGACTCCAAAGCAACTTTACCTGCCAGCAGTCCTGTGATATCCTCTAAAACTTAATTCTAGTAGACGTGAAGCAATAGAGGAATCTTTTCTTCCCTACCCATAGTAGCTAATAATGGTGCTTTCCTCCAATCTGTGTTTCTGAAATTTCTGCAGTGTTAAGTGAGATCTTTTCAAGAGATGATTTTCTTTCTTCTTAGGATAAAACAGTGTGAGAATATTGGGCACCTATTCTCTGTTTATAAAGAAAGTTCTCCCCTCTAATTATGAAAGTAATTTGAGCTGGTGCCGTGGCTCAATAGGCTAATCCTCCACCTAGCGGCACCGGCACACCGGGTTCTAGTCCCGGTCGGGGCGATGGATTCTGTCCCGGTTGCCCCTCTTCTGTGGCCCGGGAAGGCAGTGGAGGATGGTCCAAGTGCTTGGGCCCTGCACCCCATGGGAGACCAGGAGAAGCACCTGGCTCCTGCCATTGGATCAGCGCAGTGCGCCGGCTGCAGCGCGCCAGCCATGGCGGCCATTGGAGGGTGAACCAACGGCAAAAGGAAGACCGTTCTCTCTGTCTCTCTCTCACTATCCACTCTGCCTGTCCAAAAAAAAAAAAAAAAAAAAAAATCTAAGCTTACATGAAGAAAAGAAAAGGAGAGTCAAAAATATCTTTTCAATCCTGTTACATACATACAATCATGATTGAATGTTCTTTATTCCTTTTTTTCTCCATGTTTTAAAAAATATAGCCCATTATTGTATCTTATTTTTTCTTTAAACCTATAGTGTGGTATTTCCATTTGATTTGACAAACTCCTCCTAATCATCACCAGGAATTAAAGAACCCCTTTATTAACTCTACCGTGAATGAGCTTGAAAGCAAAACAGAACAAAGTAAGGCAGGCGTTTGGTGTAGTGGTAAGACACTGGCTGGGGTGCCTGTATCCCATGTTGGAGTTCTTGGGCTCTAGTGCTGCCTCTGCCTCTAATCCAGCTTCTTTCTAATGTACCTGGGAGGCAGTTGATGGTGACTTGGGGTCCAGCACGGAAGACCTAGGTGGAGTTCCTTGCTACTGGCTTCTGCCTGACTCAGCCCTGGCTGTTGGTGGCATTTGAGAGTGAACCAGTGGATGGAAGGTCTCTGGCTCTCTCTCCATCTCTCTTTGTCTCTTTCTCTCTGTCTCTGCCTTTCACATAAAATGAAAACAAATAAAGAAAAAAGATAACTAAGTTCAAGAAGTGTTGGCTATTCATTCATCAAAAGCCAAAAAACCAAACAAACTCCGCTAAAGCTGGAGCCCAGATGCAGGTCAGGGATGCATAAAACCTGCAGCCGCCTCCCATGTCCTCTTCTGGAACTGTGCAGAGTGAGAGGTGTGGATTTTCTAGTTTGAGACAAGGTCAGTCTTGATCTTTACACAGTGTTTTCCTTCCTCTATGGCACAAGAGCTAAATACTGTAAATCACTAAAATGTTAGAGCTGGGTGAAACATTGTCCATCATCATTTCCCAGCTCTGTCATTCCACAGATGAAGAAATTGGGGTCCAAATGGGCCAAGTAATTCACAGCTAAGCAGGGCAGGACCCAGGGCCAGCAGCCCGGGAGATGTTGCTGTTAAGGAAGGCATGCCTGGATGTATGCCTTAATGCAGCCGGCCTCCGATTGAGCAGTGAACTCCCTCGTTCCACACCTTCTATAAAAGAGAGATAATTTGTGTCTTTCTGGTAAGGTAGTTGAGAGCATAGATACACAACAGTAAATAAAGGTTCCAGAATAACGGTTGGTATAGTAAAAGTCTTATGTTTTTAAAGATTTATTTTATTTATTTGAAAAAGAAAGAAGGAGAGGAAGAGAGAGAGAGAGAGAGATAGGTTCTCCATCTGCTGATTCACTCCCCCACTTGGCTGCAATGGCTGGAGCTGTGCTGATCCGAAGCAGGAGCTAGGAGTTTTTCTGGGTCTCCCATGTGGGTGCAGGGGCCCAAGGACTTGGGCCATCTTCTGCTGCTTTCCCAGGCCATAGCAGAGAGCTGGATGGGAAGTGGAGCAGCCAGGAAGTATGGAACTGGTATGGTACCAGCATGGAACTGGTACCCATATGGGATGCTGGCACTGCGGGCAGTGGTTTTACCCGCTATGCCACAGCACCGGCCGCTTAAGTAAGTCTTATAGTTGATATTCATTGCCACGGTTGTCATCATCATCATCATTGATCTCACCACGACATCCACCTTCTGTAGATGGAAGAGCGACATAGAGAATGGAAGGGTTCAGATAGGAATTAAGAAGTAGAGCTGTGAGGAGAGTTAATTTCAGTGATTTCTCTAAAATCCCTTCCTTTGTGGTGGAGTAGAGAGTGATGGACCAGGTGTCCGGCCATGTGGATTCTCACTGGCATCCTCCTGGGTCCTTGGCAGAAGTTGTTTACCTTACACTCCTGAAGTCTTCTCTTTTCGTAAAGTGTATCACCTGGAATTTGATCTTCAAGTTGCTTGCTTGCTCTAACTGAGGGATTCTAAACAGCAAGACAGGCAGTGTAAGATTAGAATTTTATCAAGATCAGAACAGAGCCCCAGCTCAGTAAGAAGGACTGAGTTAATCTGTGGCCATTTTCAGAGTGTGGTGGTAGAAACTGTCTTGAACTCATTGCTTTCCACTTTTCCTCTCCTGGAGTGGGGTCTCTGCTGTCCATAGGAATTCAGTTCAGAGTGGAGAGTGGAAACCCCAGGGCTGGGTTGCATCTTAGTTATGTGGTAGGTGTGGCAGCTCTTTCCTTCCCTGGTATTTATGACCTGCAGGCTCCTTATCTGAAGGAGTGGCCTCCCACAGGGGGGCCTGAGGTGCTACTCCTGGCTTCCTGTGGAGGATTCCTTTGGGGTGTGTGTAAATGTTTGATCTTGAACAGAGGGCAGAAAATATAAAGTTAGTTATTTATTCTTAGACTGAAATACCCTGACTGCTAGTTTCAGAAGTATACTCAGGAACCGTAGGCTAGTGCTTGTGTAAAGTGGGCCACACTCGTGCATGTGTGTCTGTGGACGTGCTTGCCTGTGAACTGCTTGGGAGTTAGGTATTGAGAACTTTGGGTATTTACACTGATAGGTAAACAACGGGGGATTTTGCTCAAGGCCATGGTAACTGCAGAGGTTGTTTTAATAATGATCAGCTTGCCTTTCATTCACCCCATGCTTGTGCCCTGACTATAACATTTGCCGTTGTAAGCTCTGGAGGTTTGGTCTACCCATTTTTTTTTTTTTTTTTTTTTTAAGATTTATTT